AAGCAAGGAAAACTTGCTTTTGCTATGTGACTTGGTAATGGTTGAGTCTGACAAATTCTGATTGTACAAGCAAAATGAATGTGTTCAGTTTATCTCTTTAAATCCAAACACCAAAGTGTCGTTTAACAGGTTAAAGCTCTTCTTTCTTCTTTAGGATTATCTGCCGCACCATTTCAGCTATTTTGGGTCTGATTTCTTTGACAGAAACTTTTGGTCCCCATGCATCCAACACGTTGCCATTTACATCAACAAGATACTTCCAGAAATTCCAGTCAGGCTCATTTCCAGAAGACTCTGCAGAGAATGAAGGAAGGAAAACGAGTTAATATGTATCAGTTATTGCCATCTTCCTTTGTTCCTTTATTTCATTGCTGCCCTCTTTTATTTATTCTGCCCTACATGTTTACCTTTATTTTAATGTCTTCCTATCCTTCTCCCCTGTTCACATGATTTCAGTATTGTATATGCTTACTGTACTGTCCACGTTTTGTTATTTGTGTCATTTGTCATTTCTGAATATCTAACATTTGCCCTTTAATGGTGGGATCCTCCAGATTCCACTGTGTTAATTAGAAACCTGGTTGTCTCGGGCTCATTTGCTTAATAAAGAAAACATCTTCAAATGATGCAAGAACAAACTCACACCAACACCATCACATCTCACTCACCAACAAGGTACTTGTAGACATTGTTGGCTCCGGTTCCGACGACAGCGATTTTACTGAACAGGGGGAAGGAGACTCCGTAAACTCTGCGAACAAAACTGTCGATCTCCTTGTCGCTGCCGGGCTCCTGCTGACCAAACTGGTTGCAGGGGAAGGCCAGCACATTGAAGTGATACGGCCCAAAGTCCCGCTGGAGCTGCTGCAGGTCTTCGTAGTGCTCTTCAGTGAAGCCACATTCACTGGCTACATTCACCACCAGGGACACCTAAAGCCAAAGGAACACACTGTGAAGACACTACAGTAACAGTCCTGACAGTCACAAAACAACAATTAACAGCAACTGAGGTATTGTAAACAGCTGTTCACGTACCTGATTGAGCGCAGATGTACTGAACATGCTCTGTGCACATCATCTGTTAGTTTTGTTAGCTTGTGTTCATCTCAGAAAGGACTATATGTGAAAGGAAGGAGAAAAAGTGTTTTCTAGTTTCATACCAGGGTTGATCTTAGTTTAACAATAAGTACACAATAAATGGAGCTTGGAAAGATCATTTTATTTTCATGACTATGAGGAATATTTACTACATGACATACTATTCATCCACGATATATTTACAGAGCAAAAACGTTTTTTGCTTCTATATTAATGCTCTGAATATCAAATTTAGCAGCTTTAACACAAGCCAAAAGAAAACTCTAACCTCTGAACCCTTTATTTTATTTATTGGTGTATTTGATAAGGGACAGTGCACATTAATAAAAACATTTCTGTAAATGCACCAGAGTTAGCCAAACGGCTATTTTTCATCTGTAGTGCCAAGAGGCAGATGTTACAAAATAAACCTAAAAACAGAATATAAGATTGGATTGAAAAGGTTATACAATATTGACGCTTTACAATGCATGCACAAACAATGACAAAAAGTGAGAATATTAATATACGTAGTATCATCACTCAGGAGACTCATACATTGTCAAGTACTAGCAAGACATGCAACACGGAGGCCCTCAAAGTCAACACACACAAAGGAAATAAAATAAGGGATAACTATGTAAAATAGAAACATGCACCAAAGACAATATTATGCTGCACTTGTTAGACACTAAAAACATCCATGTCAGAGGCACAAAACATAAAAGCATGCAGAGTATGTGAAATACATCAATCAGTCAGACACAGCTAAACAACAATAAAAGACATGCATGCAGGTAGATGAGGGTCGACCAGCAATTTCAAGACGGACAGACAGGTGACAACAGACAGATCGAGGGAAAGTTCAACACAGACAGAGGTGCAGTTACATTCTAGTGCTGACGGAGTTGGGTACTAACTAACCATTTCTTTAATTGAGCTTTAAATGAACTGTATGTTTGTAGTTCTCTAATGGTCACTGGGATGGAGTTCCATTGTAGTGCAGCTTGTACTGAAAATGCAGACTGACTGACCTTTCTGGTTGATTGTTTCATGGCTGTTTCACCTCAGGGACTTGGTCAAAATAATTTGTTATTGCATTTCTTCAATTCTACAGTTGTAATACATAGGATTCATAGTTCAATATTTTTTTTATGTTTTAGGCTATAGCCTAATTATAATTTGAACTACAGTAAGCTTTATTCTATATACAGTACTGTACTGTATTATAGTGTATTTGAAATATACACAACATTTTTGAAACAGTCAATCAAATTGTGTAAATAGCGAAACTGTCCGTTTCATAACTTTATATTCATATAATAAATAATAATAGTAGTAATTTGCATGACAGTAAATACCTCAACGAGTACTAACATTCCATACATTTTTTGTGTTTCTTAATATCCACAACTGACTCTAATGTGACAGCTCGTTTTGCGTTCACTACCTGCTGAAGAACCTCCATTTCAGAACTATTTTTATAACTACTATTACAATGGGATTCATTTTTATAACAACAATTTAATAATAATAATCATTTAATATTAACAGAAAATTCAGCTGTTCATTAAGAACTCGTCATGAATCAAACGTAGACTTCTAATGAACTTTCTCAAGAATAAAAAAATTTAAAAAGTAGATATTAGTGAATGAACGATTTTTCATGCAGGACTGTTACTTGTCATGGTGTATTGTTATGTTGTTGTACTAGTAATTTTACTTTGGTAAAGGATCTGAATACTTCTTTCACTGAATGAGAGTTCCATGTCTGACGAGATCAATGCCTTTGTTGTTTACCTTTTCATGCTCAGTGTAAGTGACGTGGTCAAGGGTGGACCTGTGCAGATACACGTCATGGAAAAAGTTGAGTATGTTCGTGCAGGTTAATACATGTTAACCTCATGCTTCAGGTCACAGTCAGGCAGTTTCTCATCACTGGATAAGTAAGCACATGCGTTCTTTTTGTTCCCATAGTGCTGACATCTTGTGTCACAATGAAGCAATTCAAGTGTGATGCATCTGAAAACCTCATGGGGCTATGTTCATTATAGAGTAGACCCTCTATACAAACCAAATCCTTCACAACGGCAACCTTCTTAAAACAGCAACGGTGCATTATAAATTATATATGTATTTGAAACACTGTACAGTGATTACTAGGTATGGTAATAACATGGAATCATCCGTGAAAGAGACCTTCAATAGGGACATTGGGGAGGATACATACTTTATATTTGTTTTACGGTGTTTAAGGGAGCATCCTTTGAAGTTCTGTTTAAGCGAACAATTTAAAGATTATATTAAAAACTAAAATAGAATGTATTGAATTTTCCTACTACAGTGATATAAATACTATGCAGCCGACAAATTATTCTGTTCTACTTTCGCTGTCATGTGGTGTCTTTTGACATGTGTTGAACAAAGCCTGGTTGACTAATTGCAATAAACAACAAATAAAGCAATCATGAAGAAGAAACCTAACTACAAATAAAATGCCTTATGTTTAGTCTCATTTATTAACCCAGCCAAATAAATAAAATCTGAAGTGCATACAGGTTACATTGTATCAACTCGTTATAGACGGATAACGGCGAATCTAGTCTACCTGCTTTGAATGAAAACTCTATGAAGCTCCTGCAGCTGCAGGGGCTCTGCAGGCCTCTTGCCACGTAGGCTAGCGGGGCTACATGATGGGACATCCCGAACAGTCAAACTGCACTACTGTGTTAGTTACGTCTACTAACACAATGCTAACTGGGAGAAATTATAAATAAACATTTCCATGCAAAATTCATTCATGCCACCGGTTGACATGCAGAGACCGGTTACAGTGAGATTCTAACATCACCGATATACTGTATGTATAATGTTACCTCAAACTTACCGAACCCCGGTATTTTTCCAGGGACACTAACTTCCCCCTGATGTTCACAACTTTAAAAGTATAAAAGTCTTTCTGTTTGGTCTCAATGAGGCTGAATAGAGTCAGCAACACAGTGAGTGCTCCTGGAAGCATCTTTACAGTCAAACTGCCAACGCAACAGAGAGGAAGCTTCATCGAAGTCCTACGGCACTTCTTGGTTCGGGCGGTGAAGCTACAGATGGGGAGGACAACACTTCCTGGATTTTCCGGCCATAAATTACAAAATAAAAGCTGTGTTGACGAATTTGTGTTGCAGCCAGAGGTTGCAGTCTGGTTGCAGTGTCAAAACTCAAAATAATTAGTTGTTGTTGTTGTTGCAGCCTAATGTAAATTAGGCTGTTTTATGTCATGCTTTATGTATACCACAATTTAGAATGTGCCTACACTGATGTAGCCTGACAATGAACATGTAATCTGATTTAACTTTGAAAAGTAAACTGCCACTACATAATTCCAAAATGTGACATGTCAACTTTTCTGCTCTCACTTTCAGCCCATTAGGCAAGCTAAAGACATACACAACATGGCCTACTTTTTTTCCAAAGGAAAACAAATGAACACAAGCCAAAAATACAGAACAAAATCTAAACGCTCTGCATATTAATTACAGACTTGTTCCCCCGTAAGAGTGTTCACAAACTGGGTCTCACTTGTGTGGGAATTTATGCTCTGTCACATTCGTAAACCAGGGGATACCTAGACTTGAGACTGCAGGGATATTTCTGATTATATCCTGTGCTCTAAAATTTGGTTTTTGGTTTGAATGGCATACTGTATGCCAAAACAAATGGATACAAAAAAAATAACCTTAAGAGTAACATTCACACTATATGTATGAATTTTACTCAAAGTAAGGACAGAACATTTTCATTGTGTATTGTTTTTGGCTTTTTAGACAAACAAACAGTAATTTAAGAAGAAATATACTACAAGGAGGACAAAAATATTGTCCGATCAAGGCTTCTTCATTCTCATACTAGTAGAACAAGATCCCAAATATCTCTAATTTTGGATAACATCATTAATAAATTCAAAACATTTCAAACATTGTACCCACTCGTCCAATGTATCTGTAAATATTGTCAATTTTAGATTGTGTGCCTGTCGGCTACTTTTAGCATCGTGATTTTTTTTTTTGAGGAAAGAAAGATTTATACACAGATAATGCTTGCAGTGCAGTTGCAGTAAAGCGTTTCCGAGCGGTATTTGAACGCAGCATGCTTCACGCCCCTCTTCATCATCACTGACACTCCCACAATGCAGCGGGGTAATGTATTAACATGGCGTCAACGGTTGCTGTTTTGACCAGGGCCGTGGGATTTGAAAAATAGGATGTAAAACAACACTATGGAGACAGCTAAACAATAATCCAAAATCAACCCTAGAGCCCGAAAGTAAGTTTGTATGCGCTCTTCTGTGTTGTTCTGGTCGAAGTCGTTATTTTCTGTTTTTAATGACTTGCTGCTGTATGCCAACTGGGTGCCAATGTTATTTATTCCCCGTTAGCTAGCTCAGACGGACGACCCGGGGGCACAGCAGCTAACGTTAGTTAGCCTACGAAGACCGCTAACAGGAAAGTCAAGTCAACGTGAATCATTCCCATAACACAGGTGACACCTTTTGGTTTTAATGGTGTGTATTTACTTTAGTCAATAATACATGCGAGCGGGAGGTGCCCCCTCTTTTCATTTCTGATTTGGAAGTGGAGCTAAAACTGTCCCAGTGTTGTGTCTGTCTGTTTCCTCATCAGTTTCGTTTCCCCTGAACCAACAGTAACGTTACCTGAAACAAAAGTCAGCCCAACCAGTTACGTATGCGACGTGTAACTGCAACCTAACATTCGCCCCAGATTACTCACAAGGGCATACGGAATCACTCTTTATCAAATAGTCAGTCTCTATCATAACACAATAATGTATCAATTGATTTACATGTTGTATCGGTAATCTAAATGTACAAAGTTTTAGCAACTGAAGTTATAAAACTAATTTAGTTTAGGATACGATATAGAATTGTGTCATGTGAGAAATGCACTAGTAAGATTTAAATGGATAAAAGTTGCATCTTTTTTTTGTGTGTGGATTGATCCAGGAAATCACCCCACTGCTTCTGTAAGTGAATTCACACCAAGATATTTTGGAATGATTTGGCAGACTTTTTTTGATACATGCACTTGACAATGTTTGAATGAAACTCTTCCATGTTTTGTACACAAGAAAAGGAATGAATTCCCCTAAAAATCAAGTTGCACAACTTAAATTTAAAATACAAAAGGTAGAAAGCCTTTACTTATTGTGGCTTCACGATGGAAAACAACCCAACACTTCTTGTCATCTTTACCTTGTTTTATTTATTTATTTTACCACACCATGTGAGTCAAAATTGTTTTATTTTTATTGCACAAACAAATTTTTAGAACAAATTACCTTTTAGTTGACCATAGTATTTGTGTTGTCAAACCTCATGTGACTGTTGAAGAATGTAGTCTCCTCTTTGTAGATTCTGTACATTTCTGTAGTTAAAGAAATGTACATACGTCTTGTAAGTTCACACATGTGTTGGATCAGTTAGCTTCACCTGGACTGGTAAAACAAGAGACACAGCAGGCTATCACAATGTAGAGCAGGGGTCTCAAACTCATTTTCACTCCGGGCCACATCAGCATCATGGTCGCCCACAAAGGGCCGGTTGTAAATGTAACTACTCGTAACATGTTGTTAAATAACTGTCTCTGCATTTGATTATTGTTTATTCAAGTGTAAAAATACTGTACATGCAGTTATATAAATGTAAAAATATATTTAAGCACATTTCTGTTATTATAACTTAAATCCTTTTAATTTAGGGTTAAGAAACCCACATTACTCTATCAAACTATTAAAGAAAATAGCAAAGACAAATATCAAACAAGTTATTACAATAACTTTGTTCAATGCTTAAAATCCTTTCAAGGGTGCGTTTGCACAATCCCACATAAAGTGTTTCATGTGTTTTAAAGCCACGTTTAAAGTAGTCTTCAATGTACTCACAATACATTTCCATGTCAAATGTACAGTAACCAACCAAAGAGCTGCTTATGACTGTTTAAGTATCATCATTTTGACTTTCTATCTCATCATTTTGACTTTCTATCCCAGAATTATGACTTTCTATCATAGTTCTGACTTTCTATCTCATAGCTTCGACTTTCTATCTCATAATTTCGAGTATGGGGATATTTTTATTATCAAGTCTAACTTTTAAAAAAAAATGTAATTTCTTTTTTTTTTTTTACTTTTTTTTTTTTTTGCTGGCGGATTCGCAGGCCACATAAAATTGAGGCCCCTGATGTAGAGTAATCTTGTAGTTAGACTGATTGCTATGATTTCCTCTCTTCTTATTTCCTAGGCTTTAGGTGGCCTGCCTACCTGCTCATCCTCAGCGTGGTGTTGACTCCACCAGGGACAAGAACAGCAGGACAGGGATGGATGAGTCCAAAAGTCCAGTCAAACAGTCTCAACCCAGAGGACCCAAAGCTTTGTCCAGTGAGAAGTCCAATAAAGGGGCTCCTGCGCAGAGAGAGGGTACCAAGTCTGCAACCCGCAGCAAAGAGAACCTCACCGCTGCAAAGGATGAACATAATATAGTCAGTCAGGGAAGCCGCGGGCCAGGCAAGACTTTCACAGACGTCCCCCAGGACAAGAGAAGAGGGCGGCCCTCCAGGCTCACTAGACTGACTGGAAGAATGAGTTCTGGGGAGAGGGGGACAGGAAAGGTGGCAAGCTCACAACAGAAGCTGGTGGCACAGGATCCCGACACCAGGGTGTCTATTTCTGCAGACAGCAGCCCCTCGGCAAACAGAGAGATCAGCTCTCCTGTAGTGCCTGGTACACCTGAGAAAGGCCTCACAGAGCTCCATTGTAGCTCCATTGTAGTTCAAGCAAAAGAAAAGTCCCATGGTGAGTTTGGATAATGTTTTTCCTGAGATGTCTCTCCACCAAAATGTATCTTTGTATGTAACTGCCTTGTCGTTGTTGCTTGTAGGAGTGAAAGCAACATCATTGATGCATCAGTCCATTAAAGAGGTGAGGCCCACCCTGGAGGATGGGCCGCTGACAGAGCAACAGCTGGGCCTCCGACAGGCAGAGGAGCGCCTCTACAGAGATTACATCCACCGACTGTTGAAAGTAAGGCAACAATCCAGTCATGCCTGATATACAGTAAATGTGTGGTTCAGCTAATCTCAGTTGCTGCATTATGGGTTCAGCCAGTATACATCTGCAATGGATAGATTGATAAATAGCTCAACGGATAAACATAGTTATTTATCCTTCATCTGTTTCCTTGATCAGACATGTATTCGTCATAAAATCTAAATCAAACAACTGCTCCAAGTCCAAATACACTATGAAGTCTTCAAACATAATGACCCTGTTATTGTAAATTGGGGGATGTTTAAACTTTCATAGAGCTCATTATATAAGTGTCGCCCAGAACTTAACTTACTTAATTACAGCTAAAATATTTTTGGACGGAAAATAACTGCACACAAAAGCGACAGCTACTTATGTTGACTTTCAATACTTTCATACCATTCCAACTGAGACTGTATTTTTTAGAGCCAGAGTTCCTGCACAGCTGTTTTTGTGTTAAGACAAAAAAAAAAGGCTGACGCACTGGAGAAGTTTGACTTACTTTGATAAATAAAGACAATAATGAAAACCCAACCTGTCCATACTTTCACTTTCTCCATGGAATCATCACCAGTTTGTTTTTTTTCCCTGTGCTTGTGATTTGTTTGATTTTTATCTCCAACTAGTACGAGCAGGTGGGATTTGTGATTGTGATCATGTGATCCCCAAATTTCCAGCTGGAAAAACTGCAAGAGAACATGCATGAACTGATTGCTTTTGCTTCTCTCCCTGTTTTCACAGCAGTCCCCCGAGTACCCAAACTATCAATACTTATGCAAGCTCTGTTCTGTGCACATTGAGAACATTCAAGGAGCCCACAAACACATCAAGGAGAAGAGACACAAGAAGAACATAATGGTACGGGAACTTTTAAGTTCGTATAGTCATTCATTCCAGGCCCTGCTTGAGTAATGCAATTCTTCTGAATTGGCACAAAGTAAGGGTTTAGAAGGAAGTCTTTAACATACTCTGGTTCTGGTGTTTCAGGAGAAACAGGAGGAGAATGAGCTGCGAGCCCTGCCGCCCGCGTCTGCTGCCCAGCTGAAGGCCGTGGACACGGCCGTCCTGGATACAGTGAGGCAGCACGGGATCTCAGAGGAGGACTTTGAGGTTCGGAAAGCCGTGGTCATCAGGATGGAAGAGATCATCAAGAGGCACCTCTCAGGTTGTATGCCGTGATCATATGTCCTTAGAAAATTAGACTTTGCTGGTCCTCAGTGCCCAGTTTATTCTGTATTTATATAAGTCTTTATTAATCCTTCCAATATCTTTTCTTTGGTTTTCCAGCTTGTGCTCTCCGTCTCTATGGTTCATGTCTTACCCGATTTGCCTTCAAGACGAGTGATATCAACATCGATGTCACCCACCCCCCCTCAGTAAGTCGGCTCTTGCTATAGAAAAAAATATGTGTATTTTCAATAATGACATTATACATCAGCAGTGACATTTGGTCTAATAGTCCTCTCATTCCTTTCCTCCGTTCAGATGACACAACCGGAGGTCTTGATTCAAGTGCTGGAAATCCTTAAGAAAAGCCGTAAGTTTTGCTCAGTGCATGTTCACTTTTTACACGAGTTGAGACATGATGATTTGTTATTAGGGCCTAAAAATACAATGTCAGATTTGTTCACATTACATCCAATTAACGATTTTTTTCCTAAAATCAAACTAGGCTGACAAAAGACAAAGGAATTATTAACTTTCTCCAATCTTCACTTTAAAAACAAAAACAAATAAAGATGCCTCTTGGAAAAAATGTTTCCCTGAAGAAAAAAAGCTGTTCGTAAACATGTTATTGTGCATGCCCTGTGGCACGTTACCAACTCTTTTAGGGAACCAACTCCTCCCTTTTTATTAGCGCTAGTGCCATGTTGAACAGTGTCTGAAGAGAACTCGCATGCTAACTATGAACTACAGGAGCTGAGGGAAGTGATGGCAGTTCTGTACCATAATTAAACTATTTATAGGTCCTAAACCATGAATTTAAATTCATTAATTAATCAAAATGATTGCCCAGCTTTAATTTTTACTAAGTAGTATAACCCCACTGTTTTTGTTCGTCTGGACTTCTTGGCTTTGTCTTGTTGGTTCATATGTCTGATAGCATGTGCAAATTAGACCAAGCAGAATGTTGTCAAGAAGCACATTGTTTTGAAATTCATTATCTGCTTTGGTCTTGAGTTACGATAATATGTTGGTCCTCATGACCTCATTCAGGTGGTTCCAGTTTTATGTAAAAGTCCTGCAATGAATTTGAGTTTGTGCAACTCATCGGCAGGTAATTTAACACTTTTTATTTTTTCCTGTCTCTCTTCTATAGCTGAATTTTCCGAGGTTGAGTCAGATTTTCATGCCAAAGTTCCTGCCATTTTCTGTCGGGATGTTAGCAAGTAAGTGTATCATCAAATGCATTGATGCAGGTTTTTATTATCTATCTATCTATCTATCTATCTATCTATCTATCTATCTATCTATCTATCTATCTCTATCTCTATATAGTAGAAATGTATTTTAAGGTTTAATTGTGTAGCATTTTTCATACAATAAATGCAGCACAAAGTGCTTTACAATAAGGGAAAAAAAGACGTATGAACATAAAAACAGGGAAAGTTAGAGGGAAAATAAAACCCACTGTATAATAATATAATATTAAAATAATGTAGCCATATTTGCAGCATGCATATATACATCAATAAACAATGCAGCACCATCAGAAGGTCTCCATTCTCTTCTACTATGTTCTTATCTTTTCTCAATCAGTAGTTGAGATTTTAACTTTTTTTAGAGGAAAACCTCCATCACCTGGAGTGCACTCTCTACCGATTGGTCTCTGAAGCTATAAATACACACAACAGATCTCATCCCTGGCTTGATTACACCAAAAATAAGCATTTTCAGGGTTTTCTGTGTCAGGCACCCTCTCACCACTTTTAAGTTCACTTTGTATATTTCTGTCAGTTTACTGTCATTGAGGTTCGAATAAATTGTCATACATGTCTAGAAATGGAGTTCATGGTTACTTTAGTGATAGTTTATAGTATGTAGTTCTCATATGTTATATATTTGTTTTTGTCTTAACATTGATGATTAGAGGAAAGAAGTCTTTCTATCATTGCAACATGGTACCTTTTAGATTGTGTCATTTCACTTAGTTATGTTAGATGATCTCATTTCTGTGTACTTATGTAACTGCACATTGTTACAGTAGATATTGACTCCCACTTACCTTTGAATCTTGCAGTTCCAACACTATTTTATAGTCTGGCACCACTTTGGTGCCTTCCGAATATATTTTCGAAAAAGAAAGGGTAATACATCACAGTAAAGCTTTCAGTGTTGCGTACTTGTGTCTTTCATATATTCTCGGTTAAAAACATAATCTATATCTTATCCCCTCAATGAGCCGTTGCAGCAGTTAGACTGAGGTTCTCTTCAATGTCGATTTAAGAATTTCATCCAACTTTTCATGGTGGTTTTCCCTCACTTCTGTGCCTGTGCAGCGGCCTGATGTGTAAAGTGAGTGCAGGTAATGACGTTGCTTGTCTCACCACCAATCACCTGGCAGCCCTGTCTAAACTGGAACCCAGATTAATCCCCCTGGTGCTGGCCTTCCGCTACTGGGCAAGGGTAAGGCTGTGACCGACTCTCTTCGGCTGAAAGAAGAAGCGAAAAATGCAGACTAAAGCATTTTTCCCCCCCTGTATGTTTATCTCCACAGCTGTGTCATGTCGACTGCCAGGCTGAGGGGGGCATCCCCTCGTACTCCTTAGCCCTCATGGTCATCTTTTTCCTGCAGCAGAAGAAGGAGCCTATCCTCCCCGTCTACCTGGGCCGCTGGGTATGTGAAGTGTTGGGTTTTTTCAGGTCTTTTTCAGGTCCACCTTTCCACTCAGGGAAGACAGTTGTACTTATTTGTAAGTGCCATACTGCCTACCCCCCCCCCCCCCTTTTTTTTTTTCTTCTTTCTTTCTTTTTTTTTTTTAAAATGGAGCACAAACTAAAAAATATTATTTATTTAAATATAATTCTGGGAAACAAGCTGCAATTTAATACAGTTCTCTGAAAACACAATTGATAGTGCAAGTGTCCCAGGTGAAATGTAGACATTGTCCACCCATTCACTGGAATTCATACTATGATCTGCATTCTTATGACATGTCTGACAGGTCTCAGGTCTGCGTTGGGAAACCTGGGTCGAACACAAGATTTAGATATGAAGGTGTGTCCGTGTCTGCCGGATTTCCACTTTCACCACTTAGCCTTGCCATCAGACAGCCATTTCTAACAGAAAACTGAATCTGTTATATTGCATTGTGATGCTAAACATACAAAATTGAATGTTCAGATTTGAATACATCAGGAACACCAGTGTGAAGCTACAGAATGATATGGAAACCTAAACAAATACAAATAGATAATGGACACGCACTTAAACAAAGGTTTTCTGAAGTTGCACGTTAAAGAGAAGAAAACCAGGCTGAAAAACCAGTGTTTTGCTTCTCGCCATGTTTGAAAGTTTCAAGCCCTCATTCCAACAACATTCCACACCTGGCATCACTGCTTGGTGTGGTATGTGCCCGTGAACCTGTAACTACACCCAACTCCTTTCTCCATGCACTTTTAATGTAGGTGAAGTTGTGCCAGAAACACTCTGCTACCCCATCAAACAGTCACATCAACAGGTCCAAAATAAATACGTCACAAATCTATACTGTAATAGTTATAACCTAACATAACAATCCAATCTAAAACTTATCCTGAATCTCTCAAGTGACCCAAATGTTTGCTTTCCTGTTCTGTGACATCAGTAGGCTTTCCTTCACTTTTGTAGTTGTAGTTCACTTCTTTGTGCTCGACATGTGCTTTTCTGCTTGCACGGCAGAGGACATAATGCAGTGATGGAGAGCATTTATTCACTTAGAGCTGAACTTTCTAAAACTGGAGGGCTTTTGCGCTTTCCTCAAAAAATGCACGGTGGGCTGGGTGGATGAAAATGCGAGGCTTCTGTGTATCCTACTTGTTAAGATGCAGCGCGTGCAATCGCAAAGTCGTTGGTAGGGGAATTTTGTTTCAACATAACTTCCTCCTCTGTCTTCTCAGTCTGTCATCTGTCTGTCTCAATAATCTCTGTCAATAAAGGCTAAAGTGGTGAAAGAAATATAAATAATTATTTTAAAAGTGGGGACGTTTAACCACTTCTCACTGAGATAGAAATGCTAACATCAGAGGGCGACTATCACAAGGCCCCAAGCCTTCACCAGTAGCATCACGATATAGCATGAAAACCTGCCTGCCAAGGAGATGCAGAATTTGAACTTCTTTTTTTTTTAAGTTACCTCTTTGTTTTAATGTTAATTGTCTTCTCTGACTTAATTCTCCTCTTTCAGATCGAAGACTTTGATGTGAAACATGTGGACGAGTATCATCTAACTGGAATCTCACTGGACGTGTTCGTCCGGTGGGAGCGCAGACCTCCAAGCTCCACGGACAACCGAAACGATGCCAGAGGAGAAGGCAGACCCAAACCAGAGCAGAAAAAAGCTGCTGATACTTATTACTCAGAAGGCTTGGTGAGTCTCACTGCAGCACACAGTCATGTCATAAGAGAGCAATTTATACTGACTTTGATTCAGATTTCAAATCATGCTTTTGGAGAGCAAAAGTGGAAAAATGGCGGGCAGTGTTGATGTTCTTGCTGCGTCACCCTGGCTTTTACTATGCCTCTTTTACTGTCCCTTAAAGACTCGCCTAACTTCGGACCTGGGTAAAGGTGTGTCGTTGGGCCAGTTGTGGTTGGACCTCTTACGTTTCTACACACTGGAGTTTGCTCTTGAAGAATACATCATCAGCATCCGCCTAAAGGAGCTCCTCTCTAGAGAAGCGAAGAACTGGCCTCGCCGCAGGCTCGCCATTGAAGGTGAGAGACTACTTCATTGTGTAAAAAAAAAAAAAAATATGAATGGTTTGACTGGTCTGGAGAAATATCAGAAATTCACTCTGTATTATTGTTTTTACATTTTAGATCCTTTTGCCTTGAAGAGGAATGTCGCGCGAAGCTTGAACAGCCAAATGGTGTTTGAGTACATCCAGGAGCGTTTACGTACGGCTTACAAATACTTTGCGTGCCCTCAGAGAAGGAGCACTGGGGGGCGCCAGAGAGCCAAGAAGGCAGACAAGCAAGGTGCAAAATTGAAAGAGCTTGAGAAAGAAGAAGAGGAAGAGGAAGAGGATGATGGAAAAGGCCTAGGCTCTCAGGGGGGGCAGCAAGGGTTTAAGGAGGATGAGGAGCCTGACAGTGATGATGAAGATGCATCAGATCCGTCCAGAAAAAGTAATGAGAAGACTTTAGATGCAAGCCTCATGGACATGGCTCTCCATGAGGGGAACAAACCGTCCTTCTGCCCCAACGGCCTGCCGGACAATGACAAGGAAGAGGTGGAGGGAAGCAGTATTTCAGATAAGGACGGGCCTGTTACGTCAGAGGATCTTCACTATGTGTTTGATAAGATGATTTTCACTAGTGGGAAGGTAATTATCACCATTCGTAATCCAGCATAAAATCAAGTATTTGTTGACGTTGATTTGAGTATAAATTATATTTTTTCTTTGACAATGGTAAAATATTGTAACCCATTGTACTGCCAAAAATCCTAAATTATGTATTTAATACTATTTAATATAGCTTCTGAACTGTAAAAAAAAGAAGACAAATTGTAGATTTCAACCTTTCCCACGTTTATAGCTGCAGTTTAGGAGAAGCATCATCCTGTCAGCATTGATGGGTTCAGGTCACTTAGGTGAGATGTTTACATTTAGGGAGGGTCTTTATTGGATTATTGACACATGATGACAGTCTAATTAATATATATATATATATATATATATTTTAATTAATATATATATTAATATTAATATATATATACATACATACATACATACAGTGGGTATGGAAAGTATTCAGACCCCTTTAAATTTTTCACTCTGTTTCATTGCAGCCATTTGCTAAAATCAAAAAATTTCATTTTATTTCTCATTAATGTACACTCAGCACCCCATCTTGACAGAAAAAAACAAATGTAGAAATTTTTGCAAATTTTTAAAAAAAGAAAAACTGAAATATCACATGGTCATAAGTATTCAGACCCTTTGCTCAGTATTGAGTAGAAGCACCCTTTTGAGCTAGTACAGCCATGAGTCTTCTTGGGAATGATGCAACAAGTTTTTCATACCTGGATTTGGGGATCCTCTGCCATTCTTCATTGCAGATCCTCTCCAGTTCCGTCAGGTTGGATGGTGGACGTTGGTGGACAGCCATTTTCAGGTCTCTCCAGAGATGCTCAATTGGGTTTAGGTCAGGGCTCTGGCTGGGCCAGTCAAGAATGGTCAGAGTTGTTCCGAAGCCACTCCTTTGTTATTTTAGCTGTGTGCTTAGGGTCATT